TTCTTTTGGAGTTTGGGGGTTTTGTTTTGGGTTGTTTATAGAGAAAAGAGAATCTATACATCATTTTAAATATTGCAGATATCTACAGCATGTTTCTCCAGCATAGACTTAGACAGCAATACTGTATGATAAGAAGAAGATACGTGCACCTGCCAACTCAGGCTTTAGTTTCTGAAATACATACACAGAAGAACATCCTGAGAATGTACCTGAGAACATATTGTACCTACTCTTTGGCAACAGGATATCTTGATTAAGACTGAGGAAACAAATGCAGTGACATTCAAAAATTTTCTATATACTATATCACAGTATCACAGTATGTTAGAGATTGGAAGGGACCTCAAAAGATCATCTAGTCCAATCCCCCTGCCGGAGCAGGAACACCTAGATAATGTTACACAGGAATGTGTCCAGGCGGGTTTTGAATGTCTCCAGGGAAGGAGACTCCACAACCTCCCTGGGCAGCCTGTTCCAGTGTTCCGTCACCCCCACTGAGAAGAAGTTTCTTCTCAAGTTTAAGTGGAACCTCTTGTGTTCCAGTTTGTACCCATTACCCCTTGTCCTATCATTGTTTGCCACTGAGTAGAGCCTGGCTCCATCCTCGTGACATTCCCCCTTTATATATTTATATACACTAATAAGGTCACCCCTCAGTCTCCTCTTCTCTAAACTATAGAGACCCAGCTCCCTCAGTCTTTCCTCATAAGGGAGATGCTCCACTCCCTTAATCATCTTTGTTGCCCTGCGCTGGACTCTCTCCAGCAGGTCCCTGTCCTTCTTGAACTGAGGGGCCCAGAACTGGACACAATATTCCAGATGGGGTCTCACCAGGGCAGAGTACAGGGGAAGGAGGACCTCTCTCGACCTACTAACCACCCCCCTTCTAATACACCCCAGGATGCCATTGGCCTTCTTGGCCACAAGGGCACAGTGTTGGCTCATGGTCATCCTGTCGTCCACTAGGACCCCCAGGTCCCTCTCCCCTACACTGCTCTCTAACAGGTCGTTCCCCAACCTATACTGGAACCTGGGGTTGTTCCTGCCCAGATGCAGGACTCTACACTTTCCCTTGTTATATACTACATAATTTTACGAAACCAGATTAACACCACCTTCTCTTAATCATTACCTTTTAAAATGCCTTTTTTTAGCATGCGCTTAAAAATTGAGAATACCCTACAGCAGTCACGTCCAAAAAACTTGATGCTGCAAGGTTGCTTATTACCCCAGGACACATACATGAGCATGTGTACTCCTATATGTCTATAAATACATACGGCATGGTCTCACACATGCATTCACATGTATACATACATGCACACAGGACTCCACAGACAGCTTAAAAAGCAATTACTAATCTTTTAAAGGACTGCCATCATTGCACGGCTTTGGGATGCGTGTTGCAAACAGTCACATCCTCCCAAGACCGCACACCTCACTACGTTCATCACTAAAGCAAGCTCAGTGTAACAACAGATGACCACAGGCAAGTTTGAAGTACAGAAGCTACCCTTTCACCCAGAATTTCAAAATGTGAAACACTTCCAGGAGTCAGGAACCACCCTAACATCTTGAAGTAGCAATTTAAAATCAGCTTCTACTACTGTAAGACACACCTCGCCCTGAATTTTTGTTGTGAATGCCACACCCTGGTCCAGAAACAGCAATACGATCTGATCACTAAGAAAGTACTGAGGCATCGATGAGGGTTCTGAAGGTGTTGGAGTTTATGCAGAACTAATAAAATACAAAGACCAATACTTCCCTCATGCTATTTGTCTGTCTTCATGTTACTATTTTACGTACACAACATTCTTTAGAAAGGTTTTAAGTTTTCTTAAAATCAAAAGCATAACGCTAAACCATAAATACATGTATACAGTTTAACAAAACAAAACCTTACTTTGTGTTTCTGCAGGCTCAAGATGAAGTTATAAGAGTACTTCAGGCTGAAAAAATCGACTTGGCTTTGTCTGAAGCACAATATGGCTTCGTTACTCCAAAGAAGGTGTTAGAAGCCCTTCAGAGAGATGCTATTCAAACAAAGGCTGACCAATGGCAAGAAGATATCTACGCAAAGCCTATGGGAGAGGTATGATTATATAATTGATATTTAACCACAGTTCTCACCAAATTCAACAGAAAATACCTCACTGACTTCAGGGGAAGATCGAGAATCTAACATGAGTGTGATAGCAAAGTCCAGGGTCAGGTGGGGTCCCTAATAAAAAAAAAAAAGTATCTAATGATCCTCATTTACACTGCACAAGAAGGCTTTAAACACAAACATATGTGATTTTGTGTAACTCAGACTTTGATCATCAGCCTTACGTTTTTGACAGCATCTTCTTCTTTCTTCCTCCTTCCTGCCAGCCACATTTACAATCCATACAAACAGATACCTCCCTATTTATCTCATTCCGCACATCTTACCAACGTCTGCTAAGGGCCCACTCAGCAGTAACAGCACAACTGTCTGTCTATTTTCACATGTACCAGCTCCCACTGGTTCTGGGAGAGGTACAGGTATACCTGCTTGGTCTGAGTAGTTACTGTAATAAGCTGTCACTAGAAGCTTCATCCAGGCAAAAATATAAAGTAATTTTTGGTTTAATTACACTGCAGCAGCAGCCATACTTTCTGAACAATGTTAACTGAATTTCTGGACTGCAGAGCAAACGCACTCGATACTCAAATCCCTTCATGTCAGTATATGTGGGTTTTTTTCACAAGTAACTGTCTACTCTTGATTTTAAATAAGCATGTTTTAATATGCTGCTCAGTATAAATAATCATGAAAGTAAAACTAGTAATTTTGAATAAAATTCTTCTACGAAATGTTTTCCAATCATTCTGAACAGACATGTACCTAAGGATATAGAGTTCATTTCAGAGAAAATGATGTCAGGCAAAAGGTCAACAGTCATTTCAGAAGCTCAAAGGTTAAATCTCTGGCTATAATCTGAAACAGATGAAGCTCAACTGTAGTGGTTAATTTATTTTAGATTATTGTGGCATTATGTCACAGAAACTTTGAGCAAAAATGGAAATGATCTGAGGTCTGATAAAGATTGAAAATGTAAGTTCAGTCTGTTACTTTACATAAGTTTATACACACTTTTTCCTTCTTACATTTCATGGCAGAGAAAGGATTTCTAACACCACGGGTTCTGTAGTTCCAAAGAGCAACTGAAAGGCTAGAAGGACCACTGACACTTTGCACATCTTGGTAAACCAAAGGATGCCATAATTGCCAGGCATTCAGTTTCAAAATCCCCCCAGATTATTTTAGAGATCCATTTAGGTTTTGTTTAGACTTTTCAATAGTTTATAGAAACAAAGGGAGAGGTGGAACCAGCCACAAAGTATGGGAATGGGCCATTTAAATTCTCCCTTTGCAACCAAGACAGCATACCTCTGTATCTGCCTACAAAATCTCTGCCGATCTAGGTCCTCTAGACTACGTGTCTCACCCTTGACAATTTAGTCTTGTAGCCCTGAATACAGAGCATCTTCTCAAAACTCAATTGAAAACACAGTGAATTTCAAAGAACATCTGTAAGACTACTGGCCCTCTAACGTTCTCCTCCAACTCACTCACCTATCCCAAACTTTAGGAAGTTTCTCGGCCAGTTTGGCTAAGAATGTAGTGGGAAAACATGGTGATTGGACAGCTTGACTCACTAGGAACAGGATTCATAGGTGCAGAAATGTAGCAAAAGAGAAAGCAGTAGTAACATATCTCCCTCTGCAAAACCTGAGTGTGACAGCTCAAAACCCTGGCTATGAGATTTTTTTTTTTTTTTTAAAGCAGAGGGGTTTTGCAGCCAAATTTGCTGTACAGCTATTTCTTTCTGCAACCTAACAAATGCCAGATAAGCGCTCTTTTGTTCCTCACTACTGAGGATTCAATAAATTGTTTTATGCTTAAAGGGGCATAAAAGAAAAGAAACACTTTTAGTTTGGTTTGCTTCACTGACACAAAGGCCTGAAAAGGTTTTTCATCATTGCATGGTTTATAAATTCAGACCAAGTCAGTTATTCATGATAAAAATCTAGCTTCAGATCAATTGCCACTTCTCTTGAAGAGAAAACAAACTGTATTCGACATTCTAGGAAATACAGAATAACAGCATAAGGACGATTTTCCCAGATTCAAAAATAAACAAATAAATGTTTATAAAGAATTAATTAAGAAAAAAAACACTCAGAGAAGGTGACGCAGAAGAAGAGATATAAAGAAGAAGATACTGCAGAATTTATGGTGTCTTTTTCTCATATTTCAAACTTGGTGGAATTAGAAAGCCAATTCTGGCTTCTAACTCTCCCCCGCTTCCAATAACACAGTCAAAGATAAAAAAATATGGTGTTTCAAAGATAAAAAAATATGGTGTTTCACTGTTTGAAATGTGATGAAAAATACCTCCTACCACTTTGAGAACTCTAAAAGCAGCAAAACCAAAGGAAAACCAACATTGTGCATCCATCAGGGATAATTCAAAACTGAATCCAAAAAGCCTAGTGCCAGTCAGCTTGGGAGAAGATGTATCCTCACCCGCCTTTTAACAGTCTACCTGATTACACAGGAACTGCTCCCACAATGTCCAGTAATCCTAAACTCAGAATTATACATTTATAAACAATGTCTGTGAAGCTATTGACAGGAATAACACTTTACTGAACTTTGGATAAAGAAATGTAACTAAACTGGATTTTATTCTGGCACAATACCAAAACAGTCAAGAAAGAGAAAAACCAAACAGTTCAGTTCCAACACAATGGATATGAGACATACCACCCTAGTCTGACTTCAGATACAAGTTGGTGGCAAAAAACATTTAAAGAATTACATTCCCGTGAATTTTTAGCTTGCTGAACTATTCACAGTTACGTAAGACCATGACTCTAATTTTCCATTGTATTGGACAGTATGTTCAAGTATTAATTCTAGCAAAATGCCCATATGGTTACCAAGAGCAAAACAACAAAGCACTTAATTACGATTTTATCACTTTAATTTTCAACAGAAGACATTTATACTGATGCTTATTAGCACTCTGTGGTTTTTAGCCAAGAACTGTATAGCTGAGTAAATGTGTGCACACACATATAAAAGGGTATTTCAAGGGCAGATTTAGCATTTGGACAGAGTAATTTGAGGAACCAGGAGCTGCTGGAGACTGCTCCTGTGTGAGGATCATGCACTAGCAGGGGTTCACACGACTCCTCTCTCTTCTCTGCTGGATCCATGGGAGTTAGCCACAAGGTCTCACAGGGAAAATGCAAGAGTCAAATTTGCTCCCCAGGGAAGTGCCCTTACTTCCAGAAGGACACAAGACAGCTTCCAAACCAATCACTCAGAAGTGCAGCAACCCTGTACCAGACTCTGCTCTGCTTGGTCCTGCAGGGAGGGAGAGGCATGCTGCACAACAACACACACAAGTGTCACAAAGCCAAATGCCCATGCCCATTATGCATGCCCATAGAATCATAGAATAGTTAGGGTTGGAAAGGACCCCCCTGCCACAGGCAAGGACACCTCACACTAAACCATGTCACCCAAGGCTTGTCCATGTCCAGCCCAGCCTTGAGCACTGCCAGGGATGGAGCATTCACAGCTTCCCTGGGCAACCCATTCCAGTGCCTCACCACCCTCACAGTAAAGAACTTCCTCCTTATACCCAATCTAAACTTTCCCTGTTTAAGTTTGAACCCATTACTCCTTGTCCTAGCACTACAGTCTGATGTAGGACTTACTGCCTCTCTAATTCTTTTCTCTATCACCCAACAGTACCACGAGACAGGCCCAGTACCTCTTCCTTTTTTTTCCTAAGTGGCATCTCAAGCTTTCACTCTGCACCTTGTACCTGCCCAGCCACAACACCCACATGCCAGCTGTGAATGGTCATGGTAGAACTGATTTGACAGCGCTCTTAAAAAGAAAACCTAAATGCAGCTTCTGATCTGAGCAACAGGAGAAAACTGCAAACATGGAAACTGCTTTAATGCAGCAGCTTAGTTTCTTGCCTTTCTAAGCCCTTCATGTTAGCAGGCATTCCCAGGGCACTACTGTTCTACCCATTTTCAAATTCCTCTTTCCACATCCCTGTCTTGAATACACACTTCACCCACTCGAAATACCAGTTTGTGATCCAAACTGTTTATTTCAACTCTAACAAAAGGACAACTCTGAAATGAAAAGAACTGGCATTCATCCTTGAGAAATGCAAAACCAAAAACCTGGAGTTACTATATTTCTTCTTGCATACATGCTGCTTGGATTACTGCTTGAATTTACCTCTTGCAGCCATTCAACAATACTCCAGAGCAAACAAAGTATACTGAACCCAAAAGATACTGTTGGCAAATCTCACATCCTTCACACCCAACATGGCAGAAGAAGGACTATTTTCTATTTAGTTAATATGTTTGTGTTGATGACCAGCCCTCACCTCCATCAGGCTTTTATATGTTTGATAAGAGGAGTAATTTGATTTATTCCTGTAGCCAGAAATTTCAGTGTTTTCTTATGACAGCAATTTACACATCCCATCAGATTTTTACATATATTTTTGAAGTGGTGGTTCAGTACATTCAAATGCACCACTTCCCTTTCTTTAACCCATCCACACAGACTGCCTGCCAGATGAAATCAGAAGTTCACACCTTTGCCTTCTTCCCCACCTGACATCGCACTGATGGCTGACACCAGCAAGCAGTATTATGCAAGGCTGATGCCCAGTTCATATCCACCTAAGCAAGTGAGGGCCATAACTGCCAGCAGCACTGCATTGGAATTGTATAAAATACACAGGCAGCAGGTTGCTTTCCAAAACCAGCACATATTCACCTGACAGCACGACCTCTAAAGGGACAATGATCAGAAACTCAGGTGATGATGCTTCATGCATCTGTGCAACAGCTGTTCCAAAATATCCTCAAAAATCTTAGTGGGGAGGAAGGTTGATTAAAAAACCCTGATTTTTTTTTCTCTTTCTGGTAAGCTAGTAACTGAGCAAAATATTTCAAATTCTGAAATTTCCACTTCTGGGGGAATAAAGGAGAGTGTGGAGAAATTAAAAATGGCCAGTCTTCTTCAACCTGACCTTTTATGGCAATTCAGTTTTCAACCTCTGTAGAAGACATAGAAAACACAGCCAAGAGATTACTGCATAAGGCAGCACTTGCTGAGAAAGCTTGCATATGCAAGGGTTTAGGTAAGAAATGTTTTCCCAAGAGAGGCCCTACTTTAGGATCACAGTTCCAGAAAGCACTGACCATGCTGGTGTCAAAGGAGGCAAATCATCAGTGAACAAGGTGGAAAAAAAAACTTAACAATCTGCTGTAAGTGCAGCACAAAGGCAAAAAGGAGTGTAGTAAGTTTCTTTCCATTTTTTGATCATGCATGAAATAAGCTATGTCATAACCAAAACCACACTCTCTAATATCATAAACAGAAAAAACAGGCAATTTCCAAACTGTTCTCATTTCTGTTGGAATATTTGGGACTCAAACCATCTTCAAAGACCTGTCAATAGGTCCTTTTTCCTTAGTCATAGCAGTGTCACCAAAAAAAGTTAACAGTGATTTAGGAGAAGCATAAGAGAATATATAAAGCTTAAAAAGAAGCTGAGGTAAGCAGGGGGAGACTCAGAAGCCCATGCAGAAATTGACTATATTCTCACTAATTCAAGAAACTCATGTTTAAGTATTCCAGCTCTTCCTGTCATCACTTCTATCGGCCAAACTGTGAATAAACATGAGGAAAAGATAATCAATCATACTTCTTGGAATTAAACTGTCCAAAATAAGAAGCGGCTCTCAGAAGTGTTCTTGTGTTCTCAAGTGTTTCTTGCGGCACATGTAATTCCTTGTTGGGGAAACATCAGAGAACCAGAACCAGCCTTGCTTCCCACACTGCCCATTTGTGAATTCTTTCCTATTAATAGGATGAAGCACTGCAAAGCAGCTTGACCTACTGGGGTAGACTGTGGTTAAGAGGAGTCACTGGGCTTTGAACTCAAAATTTCTCTTTTCCAAAAAAGAGATACAAAGATTCCTGTGTTGACCTCATAAGGGAGGCTGACTCCACAGGGGAAGGGGCAGGGAACAAAGCTTCTCATAAATACAGATTCTTTCCCAGTCTTCAGATTTCTTGTAGTGATCCCTCCTGAAATCAGGATTAGATCACTAATGTCTACGAAGGAAAACCCCTTTTGGTTTCATACATACGTAAGTTGCATAACATGTTGCATAACATACTGAATTCTTAAAATACTGTGTAAGATAATCCTCAGAATGACAGTTTTCTCTCAGTTTCTGGAGATCACTTTGTTTAGTAGTGTAACTCCAGTGAACAGTTATGACAGTACGTCTGTGGTTTAAAAAAACTAAAAATGATTACCAAAACCTAAAATAGATCGTTAAGTTGAACTATAATATTATTTAGAAGCTCAGAAGAAACCCTTGGGGGAGGGAATTTGATGCTAAAAATACCATCGGCAAAGCAAACCCCTTTACAAATATTTCAAAATTTAGTAGTTACTTATTCCAGGAACTCAAAGCCATGCTCAGAGTAAGTACAGGAGACAGCACAGTTTTCCATTCTTGATTCTATCACACATTTACTGTGAAACTGCTTTTTGACCTACCTATCTTACAAAGACAATTCAATGCTCTCATTTCTAGACAGATACAAATGAGGAGCTATTTCTATTCAACCAAAGATCAGTCACCTACTGTGTGAAGCAGAGGCTTCTTCTGTCAAGACCTCAACCACAGTTATCAATGAGTAAAGCATAGTCCTGGGAACAGTAATTGTTAATTAGTAGCTGTTGAGGATCAGTCATGGCAGGGAGAGAAACAGAATGTGACTGGAAGAAACAGAATGTGACTGAGGATCCTGCAGAACAGTACCTTATTATTTTTCTAATTTGTCAGAATTAAACTGACAGAAATAAATAACCCCTTCTAGAGCTTATTTCCAAAGATACTACAGGACCTGGCCAAGAGGCTATTAAATGCATTTTAAATTACTAAGGGTCTCTCAAAATCTTTCATTAATGAAAGTCTGAACAAGTAAGAGTTTCAAAAAAACTTCAGGAGTTTTTCCTTTTTTTGTAGCTTGATAAAGTTGTGGAGAAACAGAAAGAAACTCACAAACGAATGCTGGAACAACTTCTCATGGTAGAAAAATCACACAAACAGGCATTGTATGAACTAGAGGAAGAAAAGAGGAAGCACAGCAAATACATGGAAAAAAGTGATGAGCTCACGAATTTGCTGGAACAAGAATGTAAAAGGTAAGGTTACCTACAATTTAACGTTATGTCTAAGGATCTGTGTGCTTTCTTATTCTGCATCCACTAAAACTCAGAAATATCTGCGGAGATATATTTTGAGAGATTACTTTTTTTGTGAAAATATGACTAATCCTATGCAACAGTAGTGACTAACCTCTATCAGGAGGTGAGGTAGGTCGAACGGTTGGCAGATTCTTCAGTGCTGTGGTGCCTGACAACACTGTAGGTTGCACTACAGAGAATACAGGGAGATACGCAAATGCATAAAGTTATAACCGACATAAAGCATGTGAACCCTTCAGCATGTTTAAGAGTACATTATAGTATATAAGTATATAGTATACAGTATATAAGTAACAAAATATTAAACCAGTCTCTGATGGCAGAGGAAAAAGACATGAGGAAAAGTAAAAGGTGTTTAGACAGACCATAGAAATTCAGAGAGAGGAAGCAAAGGCAGAGGATAACTTACACAAAGCTTTGAAAATAAGAACATCATAAAGTTCTCACCTCAGGACTGGCATAAAAACCACCAATCCAACTTTATTTTTAGTGTAATCTAAAAGTGACACAGCTTGTTTAAGCACAGTGTGAGAGCTTCAATACCAATTCTCAAAAGGAGGATTAAGAAAAATTTGACATCATTTACTATCTTTAAAAAAAGCCACTTTAACCCGTGGCTTCTCTAAATCTGCAGGAAAACTGAACACATCCTAAGGAGAATAAAAAAAATATCTAACAACATTTCCTATTCCCTGGTTAGATAACCCAGAAGATAGGAGAATATTGTCTCAGTTTCCTTTTGCTTAGGAACAGATGGAAATGTTTGGGTGTGAGAACACCAAGCCTATTCTAAACTCACATTATGCATAGATAATTCTTTCTCTGCTTCACCTGTGTAACATCACGTTCCATGTATTTTGGCAGTGCTCACCCTTCGCTCTATACCATTCTCCTGCAGGTCTATCAAAGACAGCACATATGCTTCCCACTGAGTACACTGCTGTATTTATGGTTTTTAATTAAAGAGGCCAGGGAAGACAACCTTTTGCTTCTCAGAAAAACGTACACACATGCAGGCAAGCACAGGCACACACAGAGAAGCACATACAAAGCCCCCCATAAGGCACAGAACTGATTTTTTTTCATTAAGAACTGTTTTATGAAACATCATCATATCAGGGATCAAACCCTGAGATAAATAGAAGTTCTCATCTCTGCAGTTCTTTTCTCAAAACCCACAAGACACTCTTCTCTTAAGAGACAGAGCTAAACAACTACAGTTGCTAAAAGTGGCAAAATGTTACATCAGACACCTGTGCTCACACAGCATGAAAAGCTGCACAGAAGGAAACACTAAGCATCAGAGTCCCCAGATTTTTTTTTCTTGTGAAAACAGGGTTAGAGACAGGATTAAACCTCTCTTCCCTGCCTCTCCTCCACATCCCCCCCAAGACGGTAAAGTATTTATCACTATCTGCAACATTTAGTCTATCTGCCTAGAAAAGGGGGGGAAGGAAGGGAGGTGGGAATAGTGAGGTGCCTAATGAGACCTTAGAGGATGTAGTAATAGATTTCAGATTACGTCTCAATTTTTTTTGTATTTTCTTTGGAGGATGCATTTAATGTGGAAAACCTTAAGGGTGTGTGATGTCACATGTTGAGTTGATTCCAAAACGTTTGCCAAGTAATGTCACCATCAAGAGCTCCACGCAATTGCCTGCCATAACAAAAAAGAAACAACCAAGGGAAAAAAAAACAAACAACCCCACACCAAAACAGCCCCCCCCCCCAAAAAAAACAAACTCACAACCAAAAACCAGGCACTCAGCAAGTTAAGGCACAGGGCGCAGCAACTTCTACATTAGGCTGCCTGACTTCACATTCAGAACACACACACCCCACCCCCCTCCCCCCCACCATACTAAGGGAAGTGACCTTTTTTTCCATTTCAAAAAACCTTAGTCCAAATCTTCTCAGGGTGTGAATTTTTGCATTTGGATTAAGAACAAATGGAACTCTGCCAAAAGTCTCATACATGAAGCAGTGACAAATTAATTTTGCTTTCTTCCATTAAACAACAACAACAAAAAAAACAAACAAACAGAAAAGCAGTAAGTATTCATCAATAAACTTTTCTTTTTTTTTTCAGCCAGAAGCAGTATTCTCTTCTAAGTGTGGAATGGTATATAGCAATCCCAACAATATTTCAGTTTCAAAGCAGAATCCTAAACTTCCTATTCAGTTAGTCAAAAAAGTGTCTTGCTTTTATGTAAGACCAAGGTTACAGCCAGTGTATGCTAAACTTATCCTTCAGGAATATAGAATGCATACAAGCCAAACAAGGTATCTGAATAGTATGTGATTATGTGATCAAAATGAAAAATAAAAACTCAGATGCTGTGGGAGAGTGATGCTGAAGCACTGAAAACTACTCATGACAGCAAGAATAAACTATCTGTCAGCTCCAACTCTTACATATGACTGAATATATTTTCAAATAAGGCAGAGAGAAAGCATTTCCCTTTTCTTACCTATGTGCTCAATAAAAGCAGAACTGAAGAATTCTTAACTGAAAATTTTAGTGATGAACTAATTAATCTGATGATCCATGGTTTAAAAAAAACTAGACAAGCCTCTATAAGGGCTTGCTGCTGCCTTCCTCCCACCATACATGACATTTCTCATTAAGAGTGTTACAAAAACATGTTTGAATCCTGCAAAATATCAGCAGCCTTCACTGACAGAAAAAAAACAAAAACAAAAACAAACCAACAAACTCTTAATCATTTGAGAATCCCTTTGACTTCACAGCGAAGCAAAAAGACTAAGGTTGGCCTCCGCAATTGTACATTGCCAGTTTGGGGAGTTTAAGCTTATGGCAGGACTAGTGACAGCTTTCTAGAGATGGGAACTGGATTAGCATTTAATGTTAGCTCTTTAGGCATTTCAAGCATTTTTCTTGTTGCCAGCTAAAATTAATCCTCCATAGTCTTGCAGTAGTTGAGAGACAAATATTGGTCTTCCAAACTGAAAAGAATTTCAATACTTAGCAGCAGACATTTACCAGTAGAAGAATGATAAAACCATGCTACTATCATTACATTTACTCATCTTCAGTCATATGTACTTTTGAAGCATGGAGCCACTGACTAACCTGTCAGATAAGACACAGTTTTGCAGAGAAAAGGGGGTCAATGGACAATGACTGGATAAGGTTTTCCCTGCACTTCAACCTGAAGCATACTCCGTATGTGTGCAGATCAGACAGGAACAGAGACAAACTACATGTGCAAGGTAGTATACTAGCCCAAGACTACTGAAGTCTAGAAGTGAAAATTTTACTGTACTGCTGAAGCCTACAAAAATAGCAGCACCAAAACTCACAAGTACATAGAAAAATTCCAGAAGCTAGATACAGAGACTACTAAAATCACCCAAAGAACCAGAGCATAAAAGCCATTAAGTTTGCCCAGAAGCTCTTGCATTTCATGGGACTGGGAGATAGAGGGCAGGATTAAGGACTAGGAAGAACACTCAGTTCAGAATCAAATGCAGATCCACTGTACCTTCCCTGAGGATGTACTCATTCATCCAAATATATTTATCTACACTCAATATTTTTGTTGTACAGTTAAACAATAAAAGCTGCCGGTTTAGAAAACATTTTACAAAGCTAAAATATGAAACTAGAAAGTTTTCCAGATATGCATGCTCCCAGTTTGAAAACACATGCCATATACATACAAGTATTTATGTGTTTACATATCACTCTCCACCCCACACATGCACAAAAAGAAACTAAAAAATAAAACATTAAAATGATCAGCACTTACACAGCCCTGTTCCCCTGCAAATCTCAAACAGTTTTACATGTTACCTAAGCACAGTTATTCTCCATTTTCTGAATACTGGAAGGAAATGAAGGTATGAGAGGAAGAAATAATTTACAGGTACCTGAGGGTTAAAAGGGAGGAAAGGAAGTAATCTCCCAATGCACAGCTGTGTCTCATCATCAAACTTTCTATATACTATATAGACTCTCAACTGTACAAAGGGTAAAGCTTTATTATGAAGATACACTAGTTCAACAAGGGAATGTTCAATAGAACAGGAAAAATACAGCTGATTAGCAATAATAATAAGCAATGTAAACATATTTTCAAAGGTGGTTATGATAAATGTTGCCCACAGGAATTCAAATGTTAGCACAAAAAATCTGCAGGTTGGTATAACAGCAACTAATAAGATCCTTAGTTTCAGGATCACCTACTAAGATGAGGGTTTTTTTCCACAGGGAGGAAAGCAATCACAAGTTTTTGCTTTAGCTCTGACTTCACACTCAAAAAGGTCCTATAAAGAACCTAGTCCAAAGAAGAAAACACAACTGTTTACATATAAGATGATCCTAACATTTTCTAAAAGGAAATTTACTCCTTATGCTCTAAACAGATGGAAAAAAGCTAAGTCAGCCAGCCAAACTATTCCACTGTATCAGACATTTCTTCTTAAAACATAAAGGGCATTTTCATCGGAGGAGTCACTGTTCACCAAGCAGAAAAAAAAAAAGGAACCTAACCTGCAGAAGTCTCACAACTCTAGCCTTTATCATCTAACAAAACACTGTGCTTGTTGCTCCAACTGCTGCCCCTCATCAAGTTCAGCCAGTTAAGATGATAATCTGTTGAGTGATACAGGTTAGAAGGGATCTCTGGAGGTCTCCAGCATAACCTGCCGAGTGCAGGGCTAACTTCACACTCAGATCAGGTTGCTCAGACCCTGCCCAGCTGACTACTGAAGATCCCCAAGGAACAGTGATTCTGCTGGCTACCAGGGCTCCTGATGCAGTCTTTGCCATACTCACCAGAAGACCCTTTCCCTCAGTTTTTCATGGTAAGCATCATTCTGGTTTGGCTTATGTCCCATGTTCAACTGAAACTGCTCTCATTAAAAGCCCAATAACTTCCCTTCTGGCAAACCTCTGAATCTCATCCATCTTCACTGTCTCCGATCTTTTGGCTGCCTTGGAGACAAAAGAGCTTTCAGTACTTCCTTGCCATCTTACCCACATCGTTCCTGTGACTCCAGCTGGATTCATTTCTCTAGGAGTTTCAACACTGTACTCCGAGTCAGAAACCTCTCATTGCCCACCTCTGCTCTGTCCATAAGACCTCATAAGTATTATTCTTTAGGTCTCTTCTT